TTAGCCTTAAGCGATGATCACTTTTCAAACTTGTCATTGGTGTCCAATTATAACACTGTTTTCTTAAACGAGCAAATGTGATACATTGTGATTTATTTTTTATATAGATATAGTATTTAAAATTATATTTATTTATTAGTTTCCGACTCATCGTATCCGCGTGCAATTTGAAAATATTAACTATTTATAAGTGTTTTTTGCTGTTTGACGGGATAACTTTTGGCTATTACAGTAAGACGTAGCTAATTGTTTATTCATTTATTTATTATAAAAAGATGTAATTTTAACTTTTGGCCATGGGGGGCGTAGTGACCGCTGCGAATTCGTCGACCCCATTCGGTCTATTTACCTTTACCGTGCAGCCTGGGATGGTGGTTGAGTGTCATTCGGTCTGCTGATCCGGGCTGGTGGACCGTGTGGGTGACCGTTAGAATATCGTATGTGGTCGTAAGATTATTATTAAAAAGATGTGGTTTTTAACGGTGATCAGATGTTTACCATAGTATATCACTGATTCATACCCTTTTCTCACCAACAAATGTATAAAAAATTGTATAAACTCAAAAGATTCAGCCAGTTTTGGCGGTGAATAAATATTATTATTATTATCGACCTTGTAACAAGTGGCTCTAGTATACCGAACTACCAATTTCTATATATTTTCATGAATTTTTTGACGAAAGTGGATATAGGACGAATTCCAATCATATAATTTTGATTAAATTGGTTAATTTTTCTGCGAACCCCTGGGACTTTAAAATATTTTTTGAATTCCACTACTCTCAGGAAACTCAGATGTTAAAATTCAAAGTAATCAGAGCAAAATGCCATTTTAACATGAAGGTATTTTATCACATGGTGAAATGTCATTTCACCTGCAACACATTTCTTGGCGGGTAAAACGGCATTTTACCATGTGAAAAAATATCTCCATGTTAAAATGACGACAAAATGCCATTTTAACATGGTCCATGTTACATGGAGATATTTTGTCATATGTTAAAATGCCGTTTTACCCGCCAAGAAATGCGTTGCGGGTAAAATGGCATTTTACCATGTGACAAAATTCCTCCATGTTAAAATGACATTTTTCTCTGATTACTTTGAATTTTAACATCTGAGTTTTCTGAGAGTAGTCTCTGCATCGATACATCAAGCATTACTTCCAAGTACTATGTTTTTGATCAACTCGTGTAATCGAGATGCTTTTATAAAAAAAGATATTATTTTCAAAGTAATTACGTACCCAAATAAATTATTTTTTGAGCATTTATGAAAAATTGTTTGAAGATAAAATTTTATGTTTTTAAATAAAACTATAACGTGTTGAATATAATTTTTTTAATATAATTTTTATTTGATGCACATAATTAGAACTCTGTTAGATTGAATCATCATTTACATAATATAATTTATTTCTAGTAGAAATTGCGTTATTATATTTCAGCATTTTCTGTTATACATTTGTTAGCCATTTCTAGAAATGTGCAAACCAAACCTCAGTATTTAGAAGAGAAAAAAAAAGATGTGAATTTTCAGTCATTTTTCTTATATATTTTTTTTATCAATTTTTAAAAAATACTTTACTAAATGTCCATGCTTTAGTATAATTCATAAATAGAATGATATTATCAGTAAAAAAGCTGTCTTATTATCAAATGGAGTAACTCAAATTTGTGTGTGTTTTCACATCAATAATACCAAAATAAAAATAGCTTTGGAGAGTTTGATTTGTTCACGTGCATTTTTTTTTAGTTCAATAAAAAATGAGAAAAGAAAATTAACTAAATCGCCACATGAAGTAGTTCAATAAATTCAATAAAAATTTAATGACTGAAAACCAAATCTTCGAAATGATCGTTCTGAGTGTAACTTTTTTGTTCGTATCGTTAATAAGTTTGTGTGTTTTGTGCTAAAAAGCGTTTAAAATGTTTTATAAATTGTAGAAATGTGTGCATTTTTACCAAGATTTTTTACAGATCTATTTTTGTTCGGTTCGGTCTATTTTCTTAAGTATTTTATAAGCAATTATAAATGCAATTCATTTGTGTTTTGATAGGCCCGATTTCAATAATCGATATGGATATGAATTGCAAATTAAATTTGCTCGTTGCATTAAACGATTTTCTGTAATTATTTTTATTTGTTCTATCGTTTGAAGACACGCCTGTGTTTAAAACGATGATTTATAACAGAAACCCCTTTGTTCATTCACTCGTGATATATGTGTATGTTATTGTGTTTCGATTTGATTATTTGTTCGTATATAATCTTCTTAAATGCTATCGTTTTTATTTCAAGTTATTTTATATACGGAATCGTCTTCTTTCTTTTGGCAGTAATTGATCTTCTAAAAAACAAATCAATATTAAATCAATGCTTCCAGTATATATGTACGAAATTCATACGAATTTTAATGAATGAAGAAACCAAAGAGATAATTCGTTATTGCCAATAGCTTTATTTTTTCATCTCAAAATGATGTTCGAGAGAAAAGAACGAAAAAAAGGGAAAAAAAACAAAGAAAATACATTGAATTTAATATTTATTTGAAATATGGTTTGTTTATAAAAAAAAGGAAATAATAAAGAATAAAATGAAAAAGAAAAAAGAAGCAATTCGAATTTTGTTCATATAAATCTAAATAATAATTTCGTAATCAATATCATTGTCTAAACGATAAATTTACTACATATATGTATATATTAACTAATCATGAAGAGAAATCCGAAAAAAACATAGCGGGGTAAAAATAGTAAAATACCAAAATTGTTGACTCGTTCATTTGAATTGTTTGTTAATTTCTTTGTTTGCCTAGATGAATCTGCTTGTTTACAACTATGTAGTAGTATAAAAGAAATTACGGGATCGATTCATCACAAGAAAATAAAAGTATTCAAGGTGGATTATGTTTCGATGGTGTGTGTGTGTGTTTTTTTAATGAATCTAATCTAACTAGATTTTGCGTTCGAACGTTCGAATTTAAATTATTTCGTTTTTTTATTTATTCTTTACTAAAATCAGCAATTGATTCGCATTTCACTGTATATGAATCTCTGTGAACATAAACACATACGAAACATGACTTTTTTCTGTTTTCGTTAAATTTATTTGATCGCCGTGTAACTTTTGTGTATTTTATAGCACGCAATATCTAAAAAAGAAAGAAAACATTCAGAGAAAATTTGTGCTATCTCGCTTGTTCGCTCCCTCAAAAAACATAATCGCAACGTTTCTATATTTACTATGTATAGTTGTGGATCGAATAAATGCCATTCTTTTTTATATTCTCTTTTCAATGTTAGCTTACATTTTTTTTACTCACATGCTTTTAACCCACGTATGATGTTTATTTTTTTCACTAAATAAGTTCTTATTGTATTGCGTCAAATTTCTAATCTAATCAAATATATTTACTATTTGCATAGATTTGGATCGACATATATTCCTGACTCGATTACATACATTTGAATTCGATTTTTTTCGTATTTAGGGGCGGGTCAGCTCAAGAAAAGAAAACACATTAAAATACGTTGAGTGAGAGTGAGAGCAAAAATGGATAGAAAGTGGGAAAGCATAAGATTTCAGTTCTATATTAAACTAAATATAATAATAGGCCTCAAATTGCAATCAACTGACCTAACATTTCAACAGCAGTGTTTAATTGTTTTTTTTTCACCTTATTTATTTGTGTTTAAAAAATATCTAAAAAGTGTTTAGTGAAAAAAAAAATGTCTCTATTTATCTCTCTCAGTTATTCTCCTCTTTTTCTACTGTCTTGAAAAGTCAATCGAAAATAATAACATTGATATAACTTTGATCGCTTCCTGTATGTTTATTTAATTATTTATTCTCATTTCAACTTATCAACAATATATATTTTTTTTTCATTCGCTGTAAATAACATAAAATCAATATTATGGTTGACATTGACATGTGATGATTGTAAAATAAAAATAATATTAAATGAAAATAAAAATTACAATTTTTATTGACAATGAAGTAAGTTCGCTTTCCAAGTGAATTCAATTATTCGGTGAGCACATTGGTAGTATTTCAGATAAAATTGTTTTTCTCGCGCACATTTACACAAAAAAAGGGAAATACATTACTGAGAGAGAGAAAAAGAGCAGATGCAAAAAATTACATTCGAAAGTAAATGTGATTTAAAAAAAGAAAAAGTTGTCAACTAAAAAATATTCATATATATATATATATCCATAAAAAATAAGAAAAATAATAATTATTATCATAATAATAATAGGTGTAAAGAGAATAAACATTGCAATATCTAAATTGATTAATGAATAGAATATGTCTCGCAGTATTGATTCGGCCTAATCCACACTTATCAAACGAAATAGAAAAGAAAAAAAAAATATATAGATTTATATATAATAAGGAATATTCACGGGATAGTTCGGAAAATATTGCATAAATTGATCACTCTCAATTGTCTAGCAATTATGGCTTTCCGGTGAATCGATGAATGAATTGATTTTTGGTAGTAACCAAAAGTATTTAGTTTTGTATTATAATATTTATATGTATAGAAACTATTCTAATTATCAATTGGATTAACCTTCCGTCATCGTCGTCATCGTTGGAACTCTATACTTTTTTCCCTAAATAGGTCTGTTTATTATTGTTTTTGTTGTTGATGATTGCCATCCATTTGGATGTACATGCATTTTTTTACCCTTTTCTATGTTGGATACAGTTGTAATATTTTTGAGGTGAGTGGGGAGGGCAGGGGGAATAAACAAGTCTATACTCCATTCCATTATCTCACTTATGATCTAATGATGATTTGTTGTTTTTGAATTTTTTTTTTCTCGAATTTCTCTTTTCCTCGGAAACAATTCACACACAATTCTATACCTCCCTTCTAATATATATCTATGAATTTATAAATCTAGAATTTTTTGTTGTTAATTTGTCAATTATTATGTTTTTTGTTTTCTTTCCGTTATTATCGTACTATTTAATTTTCGTCTTCATTTTTTTTTTTTTTTTTTTTTTGTTTTATATTATTTTCATTTGCCTTAAATAATACGTAAATTAATACGCTTGAGCTTCTTTATAATCACTTGGGTCTAATGTGAAGAAATCTTCAAGTTTCCATTGTAGCGTTTCGAATGTTGGTCGTCGCATGGGGTCTTTGTTCCAACACTCGAGCATTATCTCATACAAGGGTTGCGTACAATTTGGTGGACATGGCATACGATAACCGTGTTCCACTTGACTTAACACTTCAGCATTGGTCATTCCTGTGAAACAAAACAAACAATCAAACGATTAAATATTTTTTTTTTTTTTCATTTTTCATTAATTAAGACAAAAAAATTGTAATGTTGTTTTTCTTTTTACCTGGATATGGAATGCGACCATATGTCACCAATTCAGTAAGCAAAATACCAAAACTCCATACATCTGATTTAATGGAGAATTTACTATAGTTTGCTGCCTCTGGTGCTGTCCATTTGATCGGGAATCGAGCACCAACTCTGGCCTCATATTCATCTTCTTTGATTAATCTAAAATCGAATCGATCAAAATTCAACATCATTTAGTTTGTTATTTTAAATCGATTTGTCAATGTGTCACCACAGAATTTCATACCTAGCTAAACCGAAATCGGCAATTTTCACAATATTATTATCAGCAACCAAAACATTACGGGCAGCCAAATCACGATGAATGTAATTTTGTGACTCTGTTAAAATGATAAGTTATTAATTTTTATTCTTTTACTTTTAAAATGAATGCATTGATATACATACCCAAGAATGCCATTCCGGCAGCGATTTGTGCAGCCATATCAATCAATTGAGGTAATTTTAAGTTTCTTCCTTTGCCTAACGATATCATGAGCGAGAATTTTTCAATTAGCATTTTTTTTAATCATATGATCACACATTCTTAAGCTAAGCTCGATTTTCAGTTTGAAATTTATTTCAACTGCATTTACCTTGCAAGTATTCAAGCAATGATCCATGTTTCATTAATTCAGTGATAATATAGATGGGCTCCTCAACCGTACATACAGCATATAATTGAATCAATTTTTGGTGACGCAATTTCTTCATAATTTGTGCTTCGGCTAAGAAATCTTTTGGATCCATTGTGCCTAATATTAAAAAATAGATATGTTTATGTATGTGTCAAACAATTACTATCAAATTAACAATAGATTTGTGACGTATTTAGCGTGATTTTGATTCAACCGAACTGCTTTTTTTTTCGTCTTCATTCCATTCATAGCAAAATTGATCGTAATGAACTCAAATGTACTTACCAGATTTCAGGGTTTTGATTGCAACTGGTGTAGTATTGTTCCAAAGACCCTCCCATACATCACCGAATTGTCCTGAGCCCAATTTGCGTACGAATTTCAATGAACCACGATCGATTTCCCATTGATCTCTGGTTCGATGTGATAAACCTTCAGTCACTGGTTTCTCGATCTATAATTTGGATGACGCAAATAGAAAATCAAACACGAAATTAGAGTGGCAAAAGAAAACAGAAACGGTGTGACATTTGTTATTCTAATAGTACGAACAAAAAAAATATTCTCTAATTGAAACGTAAATCTAAGTCTAATGTTAACGACAATGATTAAACGATAAACGAATAAATCAATTTGCATTTCAAACTGAGATTGCTTTTTTTTTACAACGGAAGAACATCAATAAAAAACTAGAACAGAAAAAATAACAGTGTAGTACAGCAAAAAAAGGTATCCAATTAATGACAAAAAAAAAACTATTTCGAGCAGTATTTCGCTTGGAATTTCGTTCTGTTTTGTTTGTTAGGGAAGAGGAGCTTTCAGTGTATAGTTGATATGTTTAAAACTAAAAAAAAGCAGAAATATAAGCCGACTGCAACAAAATAAATAAACAAGTATTTTGATTATGTACACATCAACAGATCTATTTTCGCTTCCTTTGGTTTGATATCAATTTTGTCATTGGTTGGTTTGCATTTCATATTTGCAAATAAATAGCATGTATTCGTATGAAAATAAATAGAGAACAATTTACAATAATAACAAGCATAATCATAATAATAATAACAGGAGAAAATTTCGTGTTAAATGATTGAAATACTATTGCCTTTAGAAGTTAACAGCGCGAAATAAAATAAACAAAAAAACTTGTTTTTTATTAAGAAAATCCAATTGAATTCTAGTTGGAATTCGTGCAATTCTGTGACTTGAGTCACAATTTTTGGATCGCATTGTCATAAATGGATTTCAGTTTTGTGTGCCACGACTATGCGAAATTAGCGAATGACTAATTTTGTTTATGAATCAGCTTGATATTTGCACAAGAATTGTGTGTACAATGTACATTGTACAAATGCGAGATAACAAAAAAAATGAGTTTCAAAGAAAATTAATATCAATGGGTTAATTTAAAATGCGAATTCGAGGCTGGTTTTGATGACCAAAAAGAGAAAAAAAACTTTCAAATAAAAAAAAAATCGTTCTGATTACAAAGCAATAGATTTGGAGAGATTTGCAAAAAGTATAAAAAGGGGACAAGATCGAATTAATTTGGAAATGATGAGTGATGGAGAAGAAATCGACCTTAAAAAAGTGATGGAGACAGACAGAGAAAGGAGTGAGGATGTTTTGTCGTATAAGATATAAATGTCTTGTCGATATGGTGGTGTGATTGTGTATGTGTATAAAAATAATTGTATATTGTTCTGGTAATAAACAAATATGGGAGAGATGAATTTCTGTTTGTCAAAACAAAATCCTACCTCGAAGAGGGCCGAAAAATGGTTTGACTAAATTAAAAATTTAAAATACAAAAACAATTATTACATTTTGTATTTTGACGTTTTGAAAAATAATTCATGTTGGTTTTTTTCATTGTCTATCTACTCATTTTCTTTTTTTTTTTAAATTGCATTGATTTTTCTCTGTATGTCAAAGACAATCATAATAAATCGAAACAATAAAAAGAATTGAGAAAATGGAAACGAAACAGTTTGAAAAAGCGGGATTTAATGAACAAAAACGTTGATTGAAATAAACAAGAACGCAGAAAATATCACTTGATTGTTAAAAAACAAAGAGATTCTAAATATTGCATCTCGCCGACAACCCTAATCATGCACTGGATTGGTGCATTTTATTTATACAATATCGATTAACCCTCTACTGCGTACGACCGACGGCATTTTAAAAATCAATGTTCTCTTAAAAATTAATGAAATCTTAAAAATCTGGAAAAACTCTTGAAAATTGGAATAGTTTGAAATGTACAAAAAAGAATTTTCATTATTTTTTTTATCGTTATCTACACCTTATAATTAACTACAATTTTGCACCGCATTCAAACAATGGAGCAGTAGAGAGTTAAATACTTTGTTAGTTGTTAGCTAAACATGTTTAGTATTTCTTGTTCATTCTTTGATTACACACAATTGATGGGAAATAAAATAAAATTGGAAAATAAAAATGTGTTGAATTACCTGTACACAGGCCGATCGCAGATTGACACACAATCCATCAGAATCCTTTGAATAATGTTCAACCAATTCTTGTAATGTTCTGAAAATTTAAATTCAAACCGTAAATTTGATTCGAAAGAATATTAACAAAAAATGAAGAAACTAGAAATTGAACGTCATTGATTTCCGATCAAAATTTATCCAATTTTGCTTTGGAAATAAACGATTTTCAACCATAATTTGAACATTTTACCTTCAGGTCGAAAATTGTTTTAAGTCAAAAAAATTTATTTGAAGATTATTTTACCTGAATGTTGTGCGACGTGCAATGAAAAATCCACCCTCATCCAATTGACGAATGCGATAATGTTTAACGGTGTCGCCGTCACGGACTGCAAACGTACAATTCAAACAAAATGTTGTAAATTAATCGATCGACAGATGCACCGATATATTTTATCAGAAACTTTCACCGGTTGGTTGTATTTATGAAATTTTTCGCGTGATGATGTGAAAATGTATGCAATACACTTACCTGAAAGTGAGTAGTCATTGTGACGACTTTCCGAATCACGAATTAAGAATGCGCCGTGTTCATTCTCTGGAAGAAGTAGCTTCTTTTCAGCTTCAATACGTTTGATTTTTCGGAAATACCACCTGTGTAACAGAGAAAAAAGTGAATTTCATGAATAATTTCGTTTTATATGTTTTGATGGTTCGTTTAACGAATAAATAAACATTATTTGGCCGTTAATGTGAAAACAACTAGTTTTTTCTCTCTCTCTTCGTTCGATCTTTCTTTCGTTAATTTGAAATTATTTCGTTGGTTGTATTGAATGCAAGAAGAAATGTGTGGCATATCGATTGCACGATAAATATCTCATTATTTTACTTCCCATATATGATATCATCAAATTGCCATTTCTTCTTAATCTATTTGAAAATAAAAATGTGTAATCGAGTGTGTGAAAGCAACCAAACAAACGTATATTTGTGCAGCAAAAGCAGCTGGTTCATATTCGCATAATCCATCGCAGAAAACGATACAGTTCGCATAATCCATTTATGACTCACATATGAGGAAAATATCGCAAGAAATTCTGTGTTGATGCCTCTTATATTTGGGCATCAAACGATCATTAAATACATATACACTTTGATATGCATACGTATCATGTTAATGATGTTTCAATGGTCACTTTGCCAACTATTGCATGTATTTCTTTGCTGTGCTTGCAGTGTTTTCATGTGCAATCTAAGCGCCACACACAAATCGAATTGCAAATGATTTATTGTTGGTGATATACAGATGAAATAAACATGCACAGGTACACTGCAATTAGCAATATGTTGGCAAACAAAAGCGCATTCGAATGAAACATCGATGTTCGATCCGATCCACACTTATTTTCAATTTCAAGCGTGCGCTTATGTATACTTAACCAAAATGATTGTACACTTATTTTGAAATGTTAGTACTTTTATAAGTTTAAACGTTTTTACAGATCGATTTCGTCACTTTTGTTGATGATTTATTTAAAACGATCTAGAATGATCTATTTTTCAAAATTGCTACCCTCTTTTCACTCAAAATTGCCCCTCTATAAATATTTGTACACTTGAAAATTTTGATTGCGACACATTTTTTAATACTTCGCTTATTTTTATTCTAGAGAAAAATCAATTTAATTTGATTGAAATTGAGTATCTAAAATGATCGGTAAAAAGAGAAAGACAGAAAGAAATGAACGCCTACAAAACTATAAAATGCACGACATAAATTATATAAAGAAATTTCTCCAGTTACACACATATTTCATTTAGTTATCAATCCATTTCATGTTCACGTGCTACAGTTTTTCTTCATTTCATCTCTCTATGTTAATTGAAGAAATGAGCGGATGATCACGTGCGCGCGTGTGCGCATTTGTGACTTTTACGATAATTTACTTTTAATTATACATCCATGATATATATAGAAAAAAGAAACATGTATTTTGTTTGGCGGCATTGCTCTATTCAACAAATAAAGTAATTTTTTAAGCCGCTGTCTGGTGGCGCATGCATAAGATTCACACTTGGGCGCGGTTGCTGTTCATGTTTTTTTTTATTTGTCTTGATTACGATTTGGCGCATTGCAATTGATCTTCGATAAGAGTGCTTGCGAGCCAAAAGTGGCAACAGAAGACCACTATAAATCGGATCACATCACAGTGCAAACCGTTGAAATGTAATTTGTTGGCGCCAACATATTTTCCTTGTGATTTTGCGTCTTAAACAGACTTGGGCGGCTCATTTATTTTTTCTTCTTTCACGACTCTCTTTATTACATGTTTTTTTTATTATCATCATTATCGCCATTGGCTTGGTTTGTATAGTTTTTTTTCTCCATCTAAGGTAAGCATCGATCTTATTTAAGGAACTCAAAAATGCACGCAACTAATTGCATGCCCGTTTGAAAAACTAGAAGATGAAAAAAAAACCGTTTCACATATAATTGCACCTTCTAATCAAATTGCTAAAAATCAAGCAACGCATATTGTTTGCACACCATTATTTTTTATTTCGTATCAATTTATCGATATTAAACCAGTTCCTTCCGATGAACGGAATTCGGACAATTGGATTCTTCATAAAGATTTATGGTGCTAGACCATGTTTGTGCGTGTATATATCACACTGAATCACAGTAATAAATATGTGTGTCAACATCCATCAAAACTATTTATTAACAATGTATTGTTGAATCAATTACTGACCTAAATATTTTTTTTGATCTTTCATTCGAAATTTGCTATTGTTTATGTATCTATTTATTTGCTATATATATATATATATGTGTGTGTGACCGATTTGACAAAAACAGAAGTCAATTTTGCACGATGTATACAAATCTAGCACGAAACATACATGTCATATGTAAAGTAAACAACGGAGAGACAAAAATTCAAGAGCGCACAGCAGAGAGTGATGGATTAAGCGAAAGAAGCAACGTAAAAAAAAACAAACAAACAAAAATTGAGTGACGGCGTGAAAGTAAACGGCGCTAGTGAGTTTCTATGTTTTACTAATTTCATGCTTAATCACATTGAATGAATGTCCGTGATTGCTGTTGTTTTTTTTTTATTTTTGCAACACACTTTTTGCAAGTGGCCAGCCATCGCTGTTGTTGCGGCCGCTGCGGCTGACATTGTGTAAGCATACAAGATCATGTGAAAAATGTATATAAACAAAGATTATAGCAGATTTTTGTTCGTGCATGATGGTAGCATCAATTGATCAAATCGATTGTCTAAGCCTTGATTACAGTTGCATCGAACAACCGTAAGTGTATCGAATCCGATGTGCCATTGGAAAATTATGAAATAACCGGTTTTGTATGCACGACAATCGAATGTGATCGAAACTATAGTACGATAAAGACAACAACAATCAAGAAATAGACGAACGACAAGAAAGACACATAGCAAAAAACATAAATTGGATGCGCGCGCTTTGAAATATCAAAACTTATCACTGAATGCGTACACTGAACATGGTTTTCAATTAGTAGTTGACGCATAAAGAGAGAGAATGAAAAAATAAAGACGAAATAAAAACAGCCGATCAAGTGACACATGCTTTCGCGTCTATTAAATAAATTGTTGTATGCACTAGTTTCCATTCGAACTAAAAATAAAATACGGCATTTGAATTTATTCTTCTGGTTCGGCCGGCTGTGATTATCAATATCAACGCGTCTGGCGACACATTTTTGTCGCTTTTAATGTGTCGATAACAATCCAGTGATGGTAGTTTTCCGTCTTAGATTTACAGTCGAACTCTGATTTTGCGAAACGTCGATTCTTTTACGGCATTTCTGGGTAAAAAAAAAATAAACCTCGATTGTTCGCTTATTATAAAATAATTGAAAATCAACAAGAGTAGTGAATTCATTCATTCGCATGCGTTCATTTTGACATAAAAATCCTTTCTGTATTATTAAATAAGGCTTGGAACATCGATATGATCATTTAATATCGATAGATCAACAATATTGGCAAAACTTTTAATTAATCCAAATCTTCCGAATAAGTCGATTGATTAGAAGTATCATTGCAATTGAAGCGACAACAAAGTAAAAACATTCTTGCGAACACCGAGTTTGCTGCAAAAAATTGTGTCTTTAAAAAAATGACCATAATATAAGCGACATTATTTCTTTGCGCACGTTAAATTACAGCCATGTACAGCACACACTATCATCGATAACAAAAAAAACGGTTCAAGTTACTGAAACAGCTTCGCTCTCTAGATCTATTTCTGCCACTTTGGTCGTCGTCGTCATTTTTTTTCTATATATCAATCACATCAAACATATATACATAAAGAGTGACTTTAATTATTCGAAATAAAAACAGAAAAAAATGTACATTTGCAACAGAGAAACGTGGCAAAGTGTGCTGAATGAAATACGAATCAACAGCATCATACACAAAAAAGGAAGAAAATGTTCAATGTGCGAAATAGAAAAATGCACATTAATCTAAAAATAACCACACGGTTCCAACGTACGCATTTTGTCATGTGTGTATCACATGCGCCGATATACTATTTGATACATTTTTTTTTTCTTTCGTAAGCAGTGCTTGTGTATGTTTTTTTTGTTGTTGATGTTGTTATTTCGTATGTACGTTTGTTTTATCACATGGAGTGTTGACGTTATCTATCTCGTCTTGTGTTCATTTTTCTCTTTGTGATTTGTTTGATAGAGAGGCAATGGGTGATCCACGGCTATTATGCGAATGATGTATAATATAACATAATGAAATGATGCGAAGAGTAAAGCAGAGCAAGAAAAAAAAAACAACTAATTACATATGCATAAGAAATATGCGTTTGCAGACAACGATCGGTACAGCTCGGTGCGCCAACTTTTACTATGTCTTTTTTTGTAAATAATTGAAAAACGCATCAATGATATGTGCAAACGAGATTTGCTTAATTTCTTCAATTTTGTACGCATATTTATATGAATTGTCTCGAGGCATGGTGGAACAGCGAAAAGAAAACTGCATGACCAATCAAAGGCGGCAACAACGACAAAGGAAACGAAAACTAGATGCAATCAAATCTCAAAAAACAAAACACCAAACCAAAGATAGAGTAAGATGACATGAAACGGTTTTGCTCATCGGTAAAACGAGCCCAACAACCAATTTTATGTGACAGTTCTACAATTATCAAGTTCATTGGACACTTTGAAAAAATTGCGAAATAAAATTTCCATTGAAATGATGCGTGTGCTTTGTTGCTCTGTTCGTATTGGTATTGATATTTTTTTCTCTAAGTAACTTCACCTAAATGATACATCTATCATTGTTCATTTTGCTAATGTTAAATCGTCATCGTTTCTCTCTCTCTCTCTCTCTATTTCAATTTCCTTTTTTCTGGTGCATTCATGTTGGCCTCAAGAATAGCAGAAAAAAAACATTACGCTTGTCATCCATGGATGGAACAAAAAATCAAACCGGACAGAATGAAATACACCAAAGAAGACAAGATAACATGAATTGCAATGAATTCTAATTCGCTATTTATAGATTTTATTTTTTTTCTCTCTCTCTTTTAATTTTAAGTGTTAGACAACGGCAACAACATCACAACCAAATGCATATGCATCGACTGGCGACTCAACGATGATGATAATCAAGTAGCTACTTGGCATGGACAAAGTGGCCAATGTGTTTGAATGCACTCTTCTTTTTTTCTTCAATTCCTTTTATTTCATCTCGTTTGCTTTATATCGTTATCTTCGCCGTTGTTATTTTTACTCTTTTTTTGTTGTTGTATCTTTTTGTGTATGTTACACCTAATGTTACCATTTTGCAAAATGCTCATAGATGCAATTTGGAATGAAGTATGATTATTACAGTCAGCTATCTATCAATCTGTTGTACGGGCCCCATTTGTGAGAGCACAACGATGATCTCTCATGTCATGTGCACAGATTTGCAACTTTAGCGTATGTACGTAGTTTATACGCTTTGCAACACAACTCTCTTTCTATCTCTATTATTTTTTTACACCAATTACTATATTAAGAAACTCGATTTACTGATTTAAAACGCACACACACTCTATTTCTATAAATAAAACCAATTACGCATCCATCGAACTTGTAATTGATTTTATAATCTATTTTTAATACAAAATATTTCTAGTTGCTATAATTTAGACTGTCGCCACGGTTTTTTTTCTGTCTTCATCGTCGCCGTGATCAGTTTTTTTGTTTGTCTGTTGCTTGTTTACGTTAGGAGATGCTGCTTTCCAAATTCAACAGAAATTAGCATTTAACATGAGTAAGAAAATCTTTTTTCAACTATTTTTGTGTTTTGCAATGAAAAACACTTTTCGACTTTAGATTTTCGTCTGAGAATGTTTTCATCAACGAAAAATCAGCAAACTCACTTATTTTCTGACACTGAATCAACGATGTAACAAAAAAATTCAAATTAATAGCAAAATGGAAACATGCGAAGAGTACATGTTAGGATCAGACCAAATTCAATAATTAAAAATAAACGGAATTCGATGAAATTTTGTTATAATAACATTTCGAAGTCACAGCGATGTACTCCATTACAATTAGCAATGACCTTGTTGCAAATTTTAACGGTATTAGTCTGCTTCTTTCGCTATCATTCATCGATATCATATGAATTTAACGTGTATTTGCAACAGTTACATAACACATTTTTAATAATACTATCCATTGGCTCTCGAATATATTTATAAATTGTGGGATAATCAATTTAAAATGCAAACTTATACTATGAGCCCCATATGCTTCGAATACGACTCGTTTCAAATATTCTCTTTCTTTCGATCTTCTTTCATATTTTTCTTTCTCTCTCTTTCTCACACGATATCATTCAACTCCTATTTTCGTATGTTCTGCCCAAAGGCAATGCAATTCTAAGATAATTTGGATCTGGTAAGCTGTTATGAACAGCGCAATGAGAGACATAACTTTTTTTTATAATTTGGTTGTATATAGATTTTTTATTATTTTTATCTGGTTTTGGTTTGTGTGTGTGTGTGTTAGCATGTACAGAATTCAAGACTGGTTTTTCGATGAATCATTTGCAGGTTATTCGCCTTTTTTCGTTCACAACGAATCGCTCACACAATTCTTATTTTCTATGATAACATAATCGAAACTAGATTTGAGATACAGAAGCGGTTCAAACTTAGTGAGCCAATGTACGCTTGTTCAATATTGCACAATAAATTGAAAAAAAAAAAAACTATCTCGCGAATGATTTTAGTGTGATTTTACAACTTGTTTAAATGAGAATGACAACGTTGACAGCAAAACAATACTTATCGTATTAAATTTGGTGCAAAGGTTTGAAGGCCCATATGCTCAGATAAAACGAAAGACAAGAAGATGTAAAAAAGGCAAACACATTAATGGCGCCACTTTTTTTCTCTTCAAATGAAAGATAAAAAAAGACAGAGTGATCGTTATCAGTTGAAGCGTTTCGATGAAAATACCATAATCGAATAATCCCAAACAGTGATTCGAACTTTTTCGGTGCTTTATAAAATCAATTGTCCAGATTATGAAATATTCCAGCTCCCCTAGTTCTTCTAGACTTTGTTGTTGGATGTGCAAATGAATGTCTGTTGCGCGATTGAATGAATTCAGTTTATAAAAAGAGACACATTTGACTTGATTGCCAAAAAACACATAGTATAAACATGACACTTTAACGAATAAACGCAACGCACATTTAATTTATGCGTCTTAAGTCATTTCTTTCGCGTTTACTCTTGTTTCAGACCTTTCTCTTCAAAACTGTTGGATTTTCTTTTATAATTTGATAGGCCAATTCGATTCGTCGAAAATGAAACATATATATAAATCGCGTAACATTCCAAATACGAATGAAATTATGAAAAAAAAATATTATGGTAAAAAATTAAAGGTGGAAAAAAAATTTGCGTATAGTTTTAAAAATTTCTTTGGATTGTTGATGGATAAGCTTTACACTGGATTATACGTAATCAAGCCACCAGTCAACTTTAATTTATTGCTAAATAATTGGTGTATTGTATGGTATTTGTTTCTTATATTTATTTAGTTGGTGTTGAATCAATTAGCAAGTGACATGAGGCACATACCGAGGTTATGAGGGCAATAGTGATCGAACAATTGAAAACATGAAATGGTAAACTTACGGTTTTTCGTTGAGAAATTCACCGCGAGTGAATTCACTGAGTCGCCTTGACTTTGCTTTTTTATCGTTGTGCACTGTGGTACGTTTAACCATCGGTTTTATATCGATTAAATTTGATTTGCTTGATTTTTTTAGTTTGTTATTTTTTATAATTTTTCTATCATGTGTCGTCGCAGTCTCAGACGTCGTTTTATATTTTACGCTATCACTATCGCATATTTGCGCATCATGTTGTTCATTTGCCAAATTATTGCTGTTTTTATTCTCATTTTTACTATTGCTGTTATTATTGGTATCATTACAGTTCGTATGATGTTCGTTATTTGTGAATTCATTGTGACATTTTGAATGTTCATTGTGTGTTCCACTGAAATGACTATTGTATTTGTGATTGCTGTTTTGTTGCGTTTGCAAATGCATTGATGGCGGCAATGGTGGTGGTGCTGGTGCGGATTGTTTACGCGGCACAATTTTCGGTGGTTGATCACATTGAGATAATGGCAATGGCAATGGCGATGACATTTTACGCAATTTATTCAATTTTCTCACTCGCACCTCTTTTCGATGGTTTGAAATTTGTTGTTCATATCGATTGTTTGCTGCACCGTACGATGTTTCATCGTTGTCGGTTGTTGCTGTATTTTCATTTATTGTTTGCGGTAAAGAATCAATGCAATGTGGAATTTTGTGTGTTTTTGTAATATCAACCGCAGAAGCAGCAGCAGCAGCAGCATCATCATCAGTAGCATCAACAGCAGCCGCAGCATCGGTAGCATTTGTATCGGTTTGTGTACGGTGTGTATAGGAGAGTATATGTGAAAAGCGTCGCATTCGATTTGACTTTTTCACTTTGCTCAACCTTGGACTGTTGTTCCATTTTGAAAGAAATGATGATGACGTAATGTGAGGTGATATCGCATCGTTCGGCAATTCGGTGTAGGTATTTCCCTTCGATTCGTCACCAATTGATGTCGTTGCCGATGAACAACCGGTTGTTTGAATGCTATCGCTAGACTTTGTGTGCGATAATTCATTTTCATTAACTTTTTCCACAAAAAATCGATTTTTTATCAAATTTGGTTGAGGTTGCGGTGAATTGCATTGAACCGTGACCGTTGCTGGTGGTGTTAAAATTTTGGTTAAATCACATTGTTTCGATTGAATTATGTCATAAATGCATCCGTCACTGGCTCGACTTTTACGTGTCGCATCGCTATCGGACATTTTTTTCATTTCAATAGCACCAATCACACCATTCGGCAATGAATTGGATTTTTTTGATTGTCGATGTTTTCGCTGTATAATATCATAAATTGCGCCAAAGTTCAATGAACGACTTTTATCGTCTACTTTATTTACACTATCAATTGATGTTGACGCCGCCATTGTACTTGCGGTCGCTGTTGTTGTTTGTCTATCACTTGAATTTATGGACTTATTGCCGCTTATGCGTTTATTTATGAATTTCTCGGAAGTGGCACGTGTCCGACGAAACAGTTCATTATCGTCCGATTTTCGTTGTAAAATCTCATAAATTGTACCATAAGTCATGTACGCATCATACTTTCGATACGCTTTATAAATATCCGTTTTCTTTTGCATAATATCATAAATCGTTCCGTATGAAATGAGTTTATCGTAAATTTTAAAATTCGTTTTATAAATATCATTTTTGCTTTTGGTGTTTGTGCTTGTCGCATTAGCGGTGGCGGCGGTGGCGTTGGTACTACGTGTCGTGGCTAGTACATCGCATTTATTTGCATTTGTTGAATTTTTGTCCGTTTGTGTGGTCGCAGTCGAATTTTTCTCATTTAAATAGGCCATTAAATTTTCATCCATTGTAGTTAATGTTTTACTGCCCGATTTACCATGTTGTTTGGACTTTTTACGTTTTGATTCGTTAACACCTTCGTCACCGCCGCATCCACGTACTAAAGCCTTAAATTCTTCATAAGATTTTCTTCGTGCTTTGATTTTCTCCTTTTGATTACAAACGGGCAGTGTGCTTTCATGTTCTTGAACAAATGGCAAATCGCTTTCTAGTGTCATTCGATTATGATAAATTGCTTTGAATTCTTCGTAAGATTTTCTACGATTACGCGATTGTGTCGAACATTCTTTCAATAGAATATTGTCCTTATTGATGCATGATTCAAGCTGATTTGTTGCCGTCGTCGTCGTTGTTGTTGTTGTTGTTATCGATTCAATGTCTTCCGCTGCAATTTCTTCATCGCCCGTCACAGTTATCGTTGGCAGTAGCAAATTCTCGTTTGTTGACTGCGTTGCCAGTTCGATTGCGGCCGCATTTTGAATTGCTTCTCTTGCGCTCAATTCCAATTTATTTTGCATTTCAATGAATCCCGAATCCATTGAACCAATCGTACACGATGAGTCCAAGCTTGTTTTTCGACTCGAATTTTTACTACTTGTTGCTCGCAATTGAACGGAATTATTGGCATCCGTATCGGATAAATCATTGTTAACAACATTCAAATTTGAATTTAGTTGAATTTCATCATCGCTGGTCAATTGTTTCATCACAGTTTCATCATTGTAACTACTACATTTTGGTTTAATACCACAAATGTCATTATTTTTATCGTTTTTATCGTTTGATTCGTCCCACTCTTTATTCACCTCTTTCTCTCTCACATTCACCTGGGACGCCACATCAATGTGCTCGTTAGCACATTGATTTTGACAAGCAAATATGTTTCGTTTTCTCAGTTTTGTATTGACTTTTGCATAAATTGGAACGGGTGTTGTGCTGTTGCTATTGACAGTTAAATGGCACATATTCTTTTCAACATTAAATATTAATCCATGTTTATGAGCACAATTAATGGCATTTCGTTGACATGATTGTTTTTTATCGGTATGTGTTGTTGATTTTTGTGTGGTTGATTCGTTGTTTATGCATTTGGCACAGCATAAAAATTCATAAATAAAATCATATTTGCTAAGCTCTGGCATTTGAAATTCGGAATATTTTGGCTCAAGTTGAATGACATTGGTGTCGGTGGTCGATTTTGATGTTGTCACCATTGTTACTTGATTAAATTCCTTTGATTTGTCGCTTTCTTTTGAATCATTTGCATCACATGTATCAATATCAATCGGAACACTTAACGTTGTTGCGGTTTGTTCATTCGACTGGACATTTAATGCTGTGTCAGCTGTTTGTACAGCTGATGTCAATGATGTCGTCATTAACGATGACGACGACAGCAACGATGTCGACGGGTCGTTGCTCATATTATTCGATTGTTGTATCTCTGTGGTTGGCATTTGTTGTTGCCCGTTGCTATTGCTATTTACATCGATGCCAGAATCGAGTAAAACAATGGCACCATTACTGGGTAAAAGTAAACGACCTTCAGCTGCTGCATTAATCAATTCGCGCAAAGCTAGAACATGTTGTTCGGTGATCATTCCTTCAAATTGAATGCCTTGCAATGCAAATGCAGTTGGCTTTTGATTCGTTGAATTTGGATCCGAACACCATACCACCGGCTGTTTAGTCGAAGACATTTTTGTCTCGTTTGCCCTTTTCTTTTTTCGGATGTGATTTTTTCAGCACAACACTGGTATTGTTTGAATGTTAATGTGCATTTAATGGTGCACACGCCTCAAACCATGCAATTCTCTCACCTCTCTGGTTTGGTGTGTATGTGTGAGTTTCCTTCAAAAAATCGTGATAGATTGTAAATTTGTTGCGATATACAATCAGAGTTTAAATACAGTTCAATTGAATACATTTACCACCAGTTTGAATGTTACGATTATCTATTTTACATTTGCTTCGGGGCAACAATTCGTAATAACAATACGATATTGCACGTCGTCGATATCTCGTAAATGGTTTTTCCTTGGAAATTGTTCGCTTTCTGTCTTGATCGTGTGCATTTGCACGCATATAAATTGAAGCAAGTCTAGTTTTGTATATATGCACCGCTCTCCGTATCTCTCTTTTCTTGATGTAGTTAATTTTTTCGTGGATTTTCTGACGATTTTTTCTGAGAAGTGCAGAATAAATTTTTGCATTTCAAACAAACGTTCATTTTATGCAATAATTTGATTGAATTTTGTCTTTTTGCGCCTATGCATTTATTCCCGCTCTATTCCGATCGATCGGTTTTTTTTGTAGACGATATCGCATGAATGTGCTAATATGCACACTCTTATTGTTAACTTTGTTTCTATTTTTTTTTCGTTTATTTCAATTTCAACTCTTTTTCTTCGATTTTACGTAATTTTTGGCGAGTGCATTTGTTTTTGTATTTCGCGCATATACGCTTTCTGTCTCTCAATTGCATTCGTTTTGGGCATTAAGTCACGCCAACAGCTACCACATTTGAGTGAATTGGCACACAATGAACACCAAATCACCGTAGACTATGTGTTGATTGTAACAAATTATGGTGAACTGCATTTAGTCACACAATTTTCGTGATGAAAATGTAGTTTTGTTATTCGGCTGCACAAATTTGAAGATCTTACTTTGTTCATTCCATTGTTACAATTCACTTTGTATTTGCTTCCTAGGCCTATGTTATTCGTGTTAGGTCTCACTTCTCAATTTTGAGATTGTGTCTGTTTTGTTTTCTTTTATAATTTTCGAGCTGCATTGCTTTTCTATTGTATTCAATTAAAAATTAAAATCACTGATTAGCGGCGTAACAATGATAATTGATTTGTACTTTCAACCGTGATTCGGACTCTTTTCCAGTTTGCACGAATATAAAATCGTCGATAATTTCCTATGCCTAAATATTATTATTCTGTATCTCTAAGACCCCCATAAAAGGAATGTATAAAAATGGATTCAAAACCCAAGTGCTTTTTCTTTGAGTTTATTTATTTTTTAATTGCTTAAAGTCTGTCGTTGTTGAGCACAATTTTGTTTCGTCGTCGACATTAATTACGATTTGAAATCAAACGTACTGAGAGACGGACAAAGAAACTTTTGTAGAATGAAATATGCACACGATATGTATGCTCGTGGAATGTCAATTTAAATGTTCAACAAAGTGTAACATATTCGAGATAGAGAAAAAAAAAAGAAATGTAAATGATTCTTTTTCGCAATCGATACAAAAGAAAAAAAAACTTAAAGGAATAAAAGCGCAAACAGAAATTTATTGAATTTCCTGATCTAATTAAATGTGTGTAAGCACTTTTTTTTGGCTACATATTTGGTGAATGTGGCAAACAGGAGTGTGCCGTGCGGCAATCATTTATTGTGAAGTGTGAACTCAATTTTCTATTTTATTAATTGAGTCAACACATGCAAACATGACCACAATCAACATTCGATACACAAAACATACACTCAAAGGAAGAAATACAATATACAAATGAAAGTTGACCGGACTCCACAGTATTGACGAGAATATTTCTATACGGTTTTGTGACTGGCAATAAATCAATTCAATTTTAGTTGTTCGATGCAAAATGAAAACAGAAATGCTTGAAATATAGTTTCATATATTTGAATGACTGAGTGTATGAGATAAATTTTTTGATTTTTTAAGCAAAAACAGTGCCAATTCGCTAAATTATTGCCTGTTATTTAGTGAAGTTTTTTTTAATTATCGGTTGTTATTATTATTGACGATGGACTGTGGCCATATGATTCATTCACGAATGCTTGATTTGGTAAAATAACAGAGACGTTCGGAATTGATTATTGCTTAAATCAATAATAAATATTATAGCCGAATGTCTGCGTTTATATTTGCATTTGCATTGACTCTTCGATGATGAATGGTGGCATTACTGTTGTAAATGCGTGATTGAATTGCAGAGAGTATTCGATATTGAAGAAAATCTCCGAGTTGCTGTGCTCTTTCTTTCTATTTCTCGTTCAATCAACAATGAATTTAAACAAAATATTACTCTCAGTTTACGGTTATGCGCTTTCATCACACATCATTGATCATTGTAAAAAACGTACAAGTTCAAATTATTGAATCGAATCAATGGACCAGCTCGATTATTATGAAACCTATTCAGCATCATCATGCGATTAATCTTTCTCTCTGATGTACGCAAGCGGTATTTGTGTAATTTCCGTTGATTGATTCCAAAGATTCCGATCTCGAATTAAAAAGCTCTCTCTCCCAACATCCAAACATGGATAAATTAAATGATGTGTGTTTTTTTTATCAATTCACATTGATTAGACACGTATTCAAGCGAAAGAGAGTGAAAAGAGACACAGCGAGATAAATCCCGCCTTGAATCGTCCGTTTCTTGGAAATGCGTCACGAAATTGTAATATATAAAAAGAATCGAACGAACAGAAGAAGTTATGTGGTCCGGTTTTTATATTTTCGATGGCTGTCAATGCATAACTACTAAGCCTACAGAGACAATGTTTTATTCCTATTAGTATGTTGAATTAGTGTAGAGAAGGGAAAAAAACAATAATGGTAAATGCCGTAGTTAGAGCGGATGACTCATAATAGAATCCGGTGTAGTGCTTAGCAAAGTGTATGTTTTTCTTTAAAAGATCTGCTGCTTTTACGTCCAGAACATGCTCTCACACAAACAAAGACATTGGGTATAATAATGATTTGGAATGTAAAAAAAAACCACGAATGGAAAAAAGGACTCTAATTGCAAATGTGCTCATCTCTTATACATGAATACAAATCCGAAATGGATTTTGCTGTAGCAAATTGGCCATGCCATGCACACACTTGAATTGCTTGCTAGGTTTGTGTGCCCGTATAAAGCAAGTGCTGGAGATAGTTCCAAATGCATTCAAACCATTATCTATGGCGGTTTTTTCTAGACCTAAAAAAAACACACATTGAGAAAGATACTATGAAAAGATGCTGGAGTTTTGTCGAGAAGTTTTCGTAAAGTTTAATCACATTTGGCGTTGTGTTTTCGTTTCATTATTATATTTTTTGTAATGCACCCAAGTAGAAAACCTCTTGCGCACATAATTCTTGTTCACTAGCAAAAAAAAGGGAAGAAAGATTTCAATTCAAGATGTTTATACTAAAACTACTGCACCACCATTGCGAAGTGAATGTTTTGCAACCAGCAGCAATTTTCATCGTTTCTTCTTGCAATTAATTTGTCTTATGTTTTTTGTTGTTGTTGTTATTGTGTTATCTTCAAGCTCGGTTCATTCATTCTGCGAATGAAAAAGTCAAAATCGCTCGTGGTTAAAGTCATGGAATATAGTTTGCCACATATTCGTTCACAGCTTTGTACACACATACACACACACATCTCGATATTGCAATTGATAAATTTTAAATCAAACGAAGCGGAAAAAGTAATTATCCATGTGATGTGTGTGTGTGTGCACACAATGTGAGTGATTTTCTTTTTGTGCATGCGAATGATTTGCTGCTTGGCTCTTTGTCTGTCTGCGCTCAATTTGTAGATTTGCGCACATTCACAATGTGCTGTTGCACCATTACCGTGTTGCGGTCGCTGTATTATGCTGTCGAGAATGTTTCTATCGAACTAATGGCGTTGCTTGTGCTTGAGCTTTTTATTCTCTTTTTTTATTTTCTCGCTTACAAAAAAAACATCACAATTGACAATCGCCCTACAGTTGTTACATAATGATTACAATTTGCTCAATTACATATTATATTTTATTGAATTGTGTTCAATTATCTGACTATTCTAGACTTTTCATTTTCAGATTTGCTCAGACACACACCGTACCTCTGTGTCTCTTTCTTCCTTTAATCTTTAGTCGTAAATCATTTGTTCGAGTGATGTCAGAGCGTGTTCACGCTCACTGATAAATGTCACTATGCAGTGATTCCTTGTGTAATTATCTTGTTTTGGATAAATGGAAACAAGCGACAAAAACACACATACACCAATATTGGCAAGATTTCGATCGACAAAGAAAATGAGTAAGTGATCATGCTCTGAATGTGTGTGAAGAATGCAAAATTGCGATTATGTGGCGAAGAGGCGTTGATATTTGAAGTGTGTTTAGCTTTGACCTTGCAAAACTCAAATTGCCTCCAAATTTTGCGTTCAACAGCAACCACATTGCACGACGAAAAACATTATAAAACTTTCATTTTGCCAACTTGTGTGTGTGTTTGTTTTTTTTTTTGTTCGTTCATTCGTTCGTTGTATCCCTCATATTTTCTATTGCACAACAAGATTGGAGTTGAAACAAAAAGTAATATTATTGCTATGCTCAATTGTTGAAATGTCGTTTGAAGTAGCACTTATGAACACAGTTTGCGGTAATGGTGGAGCGTACAACCAAAATGTAGGTCGAAAAATTCATTATCAAACGGTCCACATAAACTTAATCAGCCCATAAAAACGTCTGCTCATAAAGTATATAGAAAATATTTATGGTAAAATGCTCAAGACCACCAATCATTTTTTTTCACACACACACACCCGGGGTTATCGTGCAAAATTGTAAATTAGCTAATTCGCGCCACTACGTGACATAAACTTCGTTAAACACACGAATGAGTCTTTGAATCAATGGAAAGCGCACCAACGATTTTAATGTGTCCGATGATTGTGTTCTTTCTCTCTCAAGCTGTGTGTCGCATGAAATGCAATTTTTTGTTTTGTACAAAAAAAACGCCGGTTTTTTTTTAAACAAATGTGCAAAATCATTTGAACAGTTTTAATTAGTGCAATTTAAATGTTTCTTTTTTATTTTCGTAAAGTGCAATTTGTGACATTTCCATTTTGAATACACATGAACGAACAAAAAAAAACAATCATTGAGAGAAATCGTTCACACTTTCTCCTGTTACAAAGAGAAGAGCAATTGATTCGTCAAAACATTGTTGAAGCTGAATGACATGGCGAAAAATCTTTTAGAATTAGATATTTTCGTTTTGATTGACATAGCTTAGAAAGAGAATTAGAATTAATATTTCTTTAGCCCGTTTTGAGTCACATAAATGAATGGAAAAATAATTTCATGGCGCATAAGTTCGTTGCGTGTAATTGACCGATGATGAAGTGCGTGTAATCACTTGGTCTTTGGCAACGAACTTTTATAGCAATATTGCGTATCGAAGACAAATTTTATATTTTGCATACACAACGGCAACATTCATATAGTCAATGCGATTTAATGACAACAAATGAATTTGTAATTGGAATTGTATTTATATATAAAGTAACAAGAGTGTGAACATTTTGCCAGCGCTTGGAGAATATGATGAATAAAAATAAAAATAAATATTACGAACGATCGATGGCAACGAACGATAGTACACATTAACAAGTAACAACAACAATTACGGTAGTACCAGCTTCAACTCAACCCATTCACTCTATGTATTTCAGTTGTAAACCAATTGTTTTTTTCTTCTATTCGGTCAGTCCGAGTTTATTTTCGGTCGATTCGAGTTGATGATTCTCTGCTAACTAACTATTACGAGGTACAAAGAGATACAAACAACAATATCCAAAAATAACTAACGTATTATACTAATCGGTATGTTTGCATATAATCATAATCACATATAGCCAATGTGGTATAAGCTCAACGAGTGTATACGCACTGGAAAATGGTCAGAATCCGACGGTATGAAAGCTGCAATCAAATAACAATTATTATGATTACGATTCTTTTTTTTTTTGCATTTGATCGTTTTATATTATATTATTTCTGTGTATTTCAATTTGAATATTTTGATATTATTGCGTTTGGTGTGCGTTTGTCGTGGTCGTTGTTTTTTTTTAAATTTGTTTTGTCATTGCTCTAAGTTTGCGATGCATTTTTCCAAACTCACGCACACTCAAACCCATTCGCGCACATTATTATATTATTTGTGGTTTTTTTTTCTTTTCTTCTCCTCTCTTTTTTTCTTTCTGTTTTTTTTTTTTTTTGCATTAAATTTCAATTCATATAAACAACTCGCGTGCACGCGGGCCGTTTTTTCGCTTCTTTCTCTTTACATGCGTTCATATTATCATTTTGTATGCATATATTCAATGGAAAATACAGAAGAAATGTTTTTTTTTATCGTTTTGTGTATATGTCACTAGCACTGGGTCTTTCTGCTGGCGATAACAGCGGCGGCATCGGTGCGCGCATTTGTATTTATTCATTTTCTCATATTCTATATCATTAATGCTATAAATTAATTGTGTATTATTTATCTTCATATTTATTTATTTTTTTCGTTGTCATCTTTCTCTCTGTGGATGTGAGATTCACGCAAATCGATAAGTAGAAGTATAAATGCATTTAAAGCAAAAAAAAAAGCGACGAAGAAGTTTGAATCGAGTGGTCAGAAGAAGAAGAAGGCAAAAAAAAATACCGAATATGCCAAGTAACAATCACAAAATGCAAATTTACATAAATAATAAAAATTCCGTTTCAAATTTTTCGGTTTTTTTTGTCTGTGTTGTTGTGCACGAGCTCGCGCTTATTTCTCTCTTTCTTGCGTTTTTCGTACATGAAACATTTACTTTTGCTTTAATCCACAACATTCGAGAGACAAATATGTGGGATATTTACGTGAAAGAAAAGACAAAAAAAAACCATATTTTTTTACAGTTGACTTTTTTTTAAATCCGAAATTCCAAAATTCAACTCATAATTCACACAGTGAACAATGCGCGCACAGACCCCGTACCGCTCGTACTGATATCAGAAAAGAAAAATACATGAACATATAAGAATAAATATTTAAAATACGAATATAACACACCGAATGGTAATATCGATCGAATAAGTAAAACAATTTCACCAAATCAGAATATTTCTATACCGACACGAATTTAAGCGAAATAATATTTAGAACACTTGTGCAGAAAATGCTAAAATAAAGCACACTATTTGTTTTATTCAATTTACTTTGTTGCAAAGAAGATTATATCTTTTCTTAGTCTTTTGAACCGTGATCCGTACGTTTTTTCGTCTCTCGCTTATGTTTCTCATTCAATTTTCTTTTGTTTTCAATGTTTTGTTGTATTGTTACGTATTTATATGTCTGGTTAATCAACGGCACCGAAGACGACTGATCACAATTTTCGTTTGTGCTTGAGGAAAAGGCAACTATACAACGATTCAAATACAATCAAACTCATGTACACAAACACACAATTCACTCGGTCCTCATGATATGCATACGGGGACTGAGGTGAGCATATATCGATCACATATAATTCTCAAAGACACGCGCGCATACAAAACACACACACACACACACTGTCGCCGATACCTAACACACACATAATGATAACACCGACCGACCGATCGACCGAAATAGTCACCCATTACGAAAGAGAGGGAGAGAGCGAGATCGAGTACATAGAGGCGCATACACAACGCATACACGAAATATACGAAAAAAAAAACAAAAACGATTTAAAACACCCAAAGAGTCACACACACAAACAACGTGTATATGTGACCGAACTCGGTCGCCGATCGCGATATACTTTCCATCTCTCTTTTTCTCGCTCCCTCTCTTTCTCTATCTCTAAATATGCAACTCTCAATTTAAATCGGCCCGTCTCACTTGTGAGGTTTTATTGTTGTTATATTTTTTCATTCCAATTGTCTCTCTATATATTTGCCATTCGCAACGATCACAAATACACATTATATACGCTTTTTTTTTTGCTGTTTTTGGTGGTGCTATTGCTGCTATGACACTGCTGATGTTCGAATAACTGACATGCAAATGCACTAACCCTGGAACCAAATCAAACAAATACCATCTTTGTTTCTTCTTTCAAACCAAAAAAAAAAAAAAAACAAACCAAGAACAAAAGAGTTGAACACTCAAAATTACTTAAAAATGCGGGGAATTTTGCGGTTAACAAAAATCAAGGAAATTTATTTTTAAGTTCGTCATATTAAACACGTTTTGAGTATCGCATTCTTCGTTATGTAATCGCTTTGAAGAGACAATTTTTCTTTTCTTCTCTTTGCAATCAGTGCACAATTGAATATGTGTGTGTGTGTTGAGGGCATTTATCATTTTTCATTATGGTTCATTTGCAAAGATGAAGCTTCAAAGCTCTCATACAATGGTCATTATAATTCAATGCATATGTGTGCGCCTGTTTTAGAACCTGCATTCAAGATTCCAATGATTTATGAAATGTTTCATGATTTTTCGAAATATTTGTACGATGAAAAAAAAATATGCCAAATTTTCTTTGGTTAAATGTGAAATCTGCGGTTTTAACTTAATTGCAGCCCATTGGGTGAACAACAATACGAAAAAACAAATCATGGGATTTATGTAAAAAAAAAAATAATCGTCGAAAATCATGTTTAGTTTTAATGAATTTGTACAAATTTTATTCGGTAGCAAAATCTCATGTTGTGGTGCACACACAAAAACGACCATAAATACGACGTGACACTCGTAATATATGCGTTTCCATTTAATTGGTAATATGTGATGGGCTGATAACGAATGTTTGATTTGTTTGGAAGTTCAATGAATGATCAATTTGGTTCATTTTGCGCACCGTAAACATGTCGATAACAAACCACAAATGAATTTTGATGCGGTAGCTACTTTATTTCGACAATTGAGCTTCAATATTGCTAATTAGGTAATTTGATCGCATTCACATTGGCCACGTTCAATTTTTTTTAACACCTCTTTCATTCGATTTCGTTTGCACGGATTGCGATGACAACAACAATAAGTAATAACAGAAAAAAATAAAGTGATTTTGATTCAACAACTTATTAGTCAATCGGCCTTCAACTGGTTTCCAGCGCCGAAATGGAAGCATAAAATCACGGAAATGCGTAGAAAAAAAATGTTGGCATTTGTTATTGTATTTGGCACGGGCCAAAGGACATTATATCGTGTACGGAATATTTTTCTTCGCTCTCTTTCTCCCGTGCTCATGCTTGCCGGCGTCCTACAAATCGTTTTTTTTTTGGTCGAGTTTATTGACATCGTCATCTTTGACGAGCTATAAAAATTATTTCAACTCGCAAATTAATATCGGCGGTATGGCCGAAATGAATGTTGGTTTTATATTTAAAATAAGAAAACCGAAAATAAAATACACACAACAAAAGACTTTTGCAGGCAACGAACCGAATGGAATCTGAAAACATGCACAAGGATATCTTTCTTTTTTTTTAACTGATCGTCGATTTGGCATTTGTATGTCGTACATAAGGGCGCGTGCGCGCACATCTCACGTACGCAAATGACGATGCACACGAATCAAGTATCAAATAACACCTTAAATATTGGAACAAGTTTTATTTGAATGCTTCGTGGGTTGTAATTCTTTTCTCTTCCAGTTTTTTTTCGTGCGCTAGCTTCTCTGCTGTATAGTGTGAATCTTCTTCACCGTATGTATGTATCGATTGTTTATTTTAATTGTGCCCAAATCACATTATGCTGGTTGATGCGAAATGCAAAACAGTTTCTAGCCACAAACCGAATGCAAAAACTCAAGCAAAACTGAAAGACTAGAAAAAAGATGAGGTAAAAAAAGTGAGCGCGCATGTGAGGTAGAGAGAAAACAGAAAAAATGGACTAAATCTTCATTTGATGCACTTTTCAGCGCTTTGACGTTTTGTTTACTGCACTCAAAGAACAATTGATGGTTGCTTAACATCATCTATTCTCCCATCTTCCATTCACTCTTCCTCCGGCATTCTCTTCTTTTCTTCTTTTTTTTTCTCCTTCACTCTTTTTTATCTGTTTTACTAACTTTATCACTTTTTTTCTCGCTCTCTATTTCTCTTTTGCACTTCCTTCCATTCTAATGTGAATAGCGTAAATGGATAAGAATAAATCGAGATACAGTGACATGTGTATGTATCGATTTTTATTGCCGACAGAATGAAATGAAAATAGGTTGCGTGCAACCAAGAAACAATTCACAATGCGCATTGATGCGGTGGCGGCAATAAAAATAAATTTTACTTTTTGTACTTTGCATATTTTGGTGCTTTGAACGATTCGCAGCAGCGGCAACAGCAGCACCAATATCAACACATATGCATTTCCTCAATTTTTCATTCGATTGAATGTATTCGAAATATTGACAGGTTAGCTTGTTTCGAATGTTAAATGCAAATGATGCACTCACTTAATGTCAACAAAATAAAATTCACACAATATAATTGTGAGTGTAAGTGAAATATGATCAAATATATTGAGTGTCACGACCTCTATTTTCAACCGTTCATATACGCCAATAAATAATGACATAATTATAGTGATGACAATCAAAAATGCACAAAATTTTTTGCCAGTGATGTGCACTGATCCGACAATATCGATGGCAATTTCTGATAGTAATGTATCTTGTCATTTTTTTAATTAACATTTGGCGACACAGTAGAGACGGTAGAATTTGTTTACTTTTTAATGGAAACATTTTTATGTCAATAAATTGACTTGTCGAATTAATGGCATACGAGAGAATGAAGAAAACGACAAAAAAAGGATTGCCTTGGAAAAAAAAAGAATAGAGATATGGTTAAGTTGAATTTATTATTATACGACAGGAGACCCAAAACCACAAGATTTGAAATAAAATGTTGGCTTAGTGAAAAGAATCAGAATAAATAAGCGACCAGAATTCGATCGAGAAAAATTATGAGTTTGTTACACGCATACTGAATCCGTGGATGTGAATTCCGTTAAGTCATGACATAAAAAAAACAGTGTTGCAAATGTAACATGGGCTTTCTTTTCCATTCAGTTGCTAAGGCAAAAAAAAGCTCAACAACGAAAGTATCAAAATATAAAAAATGACTATTAACATTAAATTTACGTAAAGTAAGTTCCGATGTACAGACTTGGGTCGCATCTCTCATTTCAGAAATCAATAATATCTGAAATCGTCGAAGCGGAAGAGAAAAGTTCCATAAAAATGGCCACAGGTCTTACGGCACACAGCCAGAATAGAGAAAAGAGCGAGAAAAAATAGATACACACTCCATTCAGTCAAATCAGATGAATGGAACAAAAGACTGAAAAATCAATAACCTCAATGAGGTCGGTAGAGAGATGATTTTTTTTTCTCTCTTCTTCTTCATTCAATCGAACGACTGAATATGCCACAATACAGTCTCACATATAAGCAAGTGAATGAGAGAAAGATATAAAGCGAAGTACATGTAAATTGCATTTGTGGAAATTTAACAGGTAAACGTATCGTGAATGCGGTCAAATTTGAATTCGCGCAGTATGTGTCTGCAAACACTCAGCAAACAGTAATGCTATCATTGATTCAAGATGTCGCTTTTGCGGTATGAATTTGGTTAGGTGCCAATCGCATTTATATTGTGCACATTTTCATGTCATAAGGTGCAGCAATGTTTTTTTTTTTTCGATTCAGATGTGTTTGTCTGTTCTTTTGAGTTGTCTGTGTCAATTTTTATTTATGCTATATTTCTGCTGCGAATTTCGTTTCTGCTGCGCTTTGCGTGCATTTGTATGTGTGAACATGACGTGTAAAGACAAAATCTGTAATAATTATTGGAATTTCAATTTTCATCGAGTATTCGATTAGTCACATATTTTGAAAATATAGCATGTAGTATAATAATATTTTTACGATTTAATATAAATTTTCGTGCTGGGTGTTTTGAAATGCAACGTACAATTGCCACCGTATTCTATTCTCGACCATTTACAAATTGAATCGGCCAAAGAATGCAAATGTAAACACGTTTACCACACACATGCAGTATTTTTGTAAACGCAGTGAGTGAAAACATTGCACTACACACCGCACACATACGCACACACTGCTATGGTTGCCTCAATCATTCAATTAGAATAATTACTCATCGCATCTCAGTTTTGTGTATATTTCGCATCTCGTTTATTCGATTAGATTGTCGCACTTGCATTCAATGTTGTTTTGTAATGTGGTGCACGTTGATTTGAATATTTCATATTTGCACATTTGATTATATGTCACCGATATACGGTGGCGGCGGCTGTTGTCGCTGTTGCTACTGTAAAATGTTTTTTTTTTTGTTTATTTCTTGTGTCGACCGAATCTCTTG